GTCAATCCATCTCATTGAGGGTCTTCCTCTTTTTCGCTGACCTTCTGCTTTTCCAAGCATGATGTCCTTCTCTAGGGACTAGTCCCTCCTGATAACATGTCCAAAGTATGTGAGACGTAGTCTTTCCATCCCCGCTTCTAAGGAGCACTCTGGCAGTACTTCTTCCAAGACAGATTTGTTCATTTTTTTGGCAGTCTGTGGTATATTCAATATTATTTGCCAACACCATAATTCAAAGGTGTCAGTTCTTCTTTGGTCTTCCTTGTTCATTGTCCAGCTTTCACATGCATGTGAGGCTATTGAAAACACTATGGGTTGGGTCAGGCACACCTTAGTCTTCAAGGTGACGTCTTTGTTTTTTAACACTTTAACGATATCTTTTGCAGCAGATTTTCCCAATGCAGTGCATCTTTTGATTTCTTGACTGCTGCTTCCATGGGCATGGATTGTGGATCCAAGTAAAATGAAATCCTTGATAACATCAATCTTTTCTCCATTTTTCATGATGTTGCTTATTGGTCCAGTTGTGTATGGGATATATAATCACAAATATATTAAGGCATTATAGTCTAGCAAGGGAAACTGATTCATATGTAAATATAACACAGTGTGATAAGTGCAAACTAGAAATATACAATGTATAGAAGCAGTATACTGAAGGGGTTGATTAACTCTTGAAGGATGGGGGACATGGAGAACATAATGGAGAAAGGGATTTCTGAGCTGGGTTTTAAGATTAAATAAGAACTGGCAGGCTCCTCAAAGAGCGTCTAGCAGTTCAGGAAGAAGGAAAAGGAGCAGAGCTGCTATTCCACATAAAGCATATCTAAGTTCACTGAAAAACAGTTTTTAATTTTCTTTTAAATAAGAAGAATTATACCTTGGGATGAATAATATTAATTTGATTGAACTCTGGTCAACTCTATCAATAATAATTTTAGCATTATTTTTATAGGAAAACATAAAAAGGGGGAAAATGATTTTTTTTAAATTAGAAAAATAACATTGTCTACAGCATTTCATTCTACAAACATTATTTGTAAAATCATTACTAAAATAGTCCTTTGCTGCATGGTATATGCAAGCTAGAACTGCCTCCCTAAACTCTTCTCTGATATTGTGTCCATTCTCTAGCTTAGGATGAGAGTCGTTTCTTCTAAATGGGTTATAATTAGTGCTTAGCCTCCCTCTGCCCTCCTTTTCTCAATAAGGCCTAGAGGTTAAACTTGTTTTCTCTCTCCCATTTCAAGACCTCGGCATAGCCTCGTCGTTCATGGTCCTCAGGAGGGACATTGCTAGGAAATGGCCTCTTCTTTTATGCCCAGGACAGGTACTGTGCTGTGCAAACAGCCGCTACAGGAGACAGTACCTGCCGCCTTGCTAATAACTGAACTCTCAGGATTCTGCAAGCCTCCTTCCAGATAAAGCAGCACTATTTAATGATATGGTAACTCTGCTTCAGCCATATAACACGTTGTTTTCCACTGGAGACTTGTCTCGATTGGGACCAGGCAGGGTTAGCTGACATAAAACTGGGGAAAATAGTAAACTTTAGCGGGCTGATTTGCGCTGTCTGTGTGTGAACTCACAGCACCACAGATTGCAAGGAAATAATGTCCCCCTAATGACCATGCTCAAGAACGTGGCACAGAGACATTCATGGAAAGAAATCTCAAACAGACCAGTTACAGAGATACAGGTGCTAAGATGTGGAAGGTGAAGGGAAGCAAATGGAGGAAGATCAGGAAAGTATTGAGTGAAAGAAAATAAATTAAGGTCAGTTCTCTCTAAGCTACCTCAGGAGTTGGAGCTGAGGTGGGAGGGAAGGGGAAATACTGTTTTCTGTAGCTGGGACTTGTAACAGGAGAGGTCATGGTCTAGAATCCAGCCCATTCAAGTAAGGCAAGAAGTAATTGCCGAGGAGGATGTTACCTGAGTCATCCTAACTAGACCTGCTGAAAAATAGGACAACTAAAATTCTGGTGGGATTAACCTTTACAGTCATGCTCCTGAGAGGAGAAGGAGAATGAACCCCAAGGCAAATGCCAAAGTGGTCTTTTCCTTGAAACCCTGCCTCCAGGTTTCAGCCTCCCAAATGCTTTCTTTAACACCCTTTGTCCCCCCCACTTGCATCCCTCTGTTTTCCATGGCATACTTTACTCTCCCAGACTTGCATTCCCCAATCTTCTGCACCTAAACATACTTCCTTTTGTTTTTACAGATTTATCTAATCAGTACTTTCTTATAAAAATAACCCTAATAGTGACAATTCTCTGTGACTCAAAACTATCACAATCAGCCTAAATTAATTCTACTTCTAAGTATCTGTGCTAATGGGTAATTTATCCAAACTGGAGAGCTGTTAGTTCGAGGGTGATGCCATCACCGTGAATTAAAGGACCCAAGTATCCTCACAGGAAGAAAAATACATAACATTACAGCCACAGTGGTCTTGAACCCAAAATAGAAAACTTCTTAATCTGTGACTTTGATCATATGATGAATCAGATACAAAAATATATATTAATTAGCATGGCTACACTCTATTCTTGGAAACACACATAAGGCATATTGGTGTCAGGGGACGCAAAGAAGGAAATGACACGATCTAGTTGTAAATTACCATATAAAAACTGACAGTGTTAGTCGAGGTGTTCCAAATGAATGACACAAATTTTGAGTCTCTTCCTTTTCTTTTCACTTAATACAGTGTTTTCCGTTTTACTGCTCTTTAAGCTTTCTAAGAGAATAAGCAGATCCTAGGAGAAGAAAAGGAGCCCTGGTGGTGCAGTGGTTAAGAGCTCAGTTGCTAACAGAAAGGTCGGCAGTTCGAATCCACCAGCTGCTCCTTGGAAACCCTGTGGGGCAGTTCTACTCTGTCCTGTAGGGTCACTATGAATTGGAATAAACTTGACGTCAATGGATTTTTTTAGAAGAAGAAAAACTCTCACTGGTGGCTATGAGAGAGCGACTTGTTTTCAAGTAGACCCTCAAATGTGTTTTAGAGTATCCGGTTCCTTTTCTCCCATAGAACCCAGATAACAGAACAGATTCACTCTGGGCTCCAGCTCTCTCTCTTCCAATAGCACTGATATTTTAAACACTTTGAATTAGTGATCTTAATAACCGAGCAATTCATTTTCATTTGTCATAACTTTATTAATGAGAAGCCTTATGAGATCTTACAGCATTAAGTATGTGCCTGTGTGTGTCTGTGTATATATGTGGGTGCATTGTATGTACATAAACATATACACATACAAACATACAGATTACTCAACAGCAGGAAACTTTTCTTCCTCATATGCTTGCTCCATCATTCAAATATCCAATGTCTTTCTACTTTTATAAGTGTTGACTTCCGTCTTCTGGATCCAAGAGACTTAACTAACATGAGTATATTTTTGAATCATATTTTATTTCTTTCCTTTTTCCATAAGAAAAAAAAAATATGAGTTCTGTAATTAATCTAAAACCTCAATTATTTTATGTTTATATAGTACTCGTAGGGCTCAATGCCTGTTTGATAATTTGGCCCATTTTTTATTAATTCATCGACTATAGAGTACCTACTATGTGCTAAACATCATGCTAATGATGATGAATTTGTACATCATCATTAATCTTGTGAAGATTACAACCTGGTAAAAATGAGATTGATTATAATTTTCAGGAGGACTCAAGAAAATAAACAGAATGCTGTGAAACCATAGCAGGCATACCTTAGGAAGGTGACTTGAGAAAGTCACACTTAAGCTAAGATCTGAAACGAGTAGGAATCATCTAAGGAGAAGGAATAGGTAGAGTTAAACCATTCCAGCAGATAAAACAGCCTGTGCAAAGGCCCTTAGGACTCAAGAATAGGAAGAAATATGAGTGGATTCGACTGAGTTGGGGATGAGCGGTGAGATAGGGCTACAGACGTAGGTGGAACCCAACTGTAAAATTGGACATCGTGTCATGGATTTGGATTTTTTATCCCCTAAGGGAAACAGGAAACATCAAATCACTTTAAATAGAGGAAAGTGATGTTCAGAATTTATTTTGAAAAAGATTGTTCCAGCAACGCTATGAAGACTCGGTTGGAGGTAGACAGTAGAGGGCACCCTTAGATGAGACAGTTTCCGGGGTTGGGTTGCCTGGATTTGAATTTGAGTTATGCTGTTTGTTAACTCTGTCAACTTAGAAAAGTTAGTTCGCCTTTCTAGCCCTCAGTTTTACTATCTATATAATGGATTTAATAATAATACCTGTATGATTAGTGTTGCTGTGAGAAGTAATGACATAATAAATGTAAAACCCTTACCATGGTCTCTGGTACAGAGTGTTAGCTATAAAAAATTGATGGTGACTTTAACCAGGGTGGTAGCAGCAGGGATGAAGGCTCGAAGGGTTTAATATTCTTAAGCGGCAGTATCCATAAAACTTGTTAGATGTAGGGAGTGGAGAGAAGTGGAGGACTCAAGGGTTGCCAGACTTAGCAAAATACAGAATATCAGCTACATTTGAATTTCAGATAACAATTAATGATTTTTTAGTATGAGCAAATATTGCATGGGACATGCTTATAATCAAAAAAATCCTTGTAGATCAGAAACTCAAATTTAATTTCTGTATTTTATTCTGTATTTTAACTGACAACCCTACCAAAGATGTTTCAAGGTTCCAGCTTGAGCAACTGAATGGCTGGTGGTGATGTTTGCTGAAAAGGACGTGACTCGAGGAGGATGAGTTTTTAGTGAAAAGGTCATGAAGTAAGTTTTAATTGCATCCAGTTTTAGGTGTCTGCGAGACACCCAAGCACAACGTAAATCATTGGCTCTGTCTTTTTTTTGGTCACAGTTGACATATTAGTGAAGGACAGCTAGGACCACATTTGTGTAGGAGTTAGGTAATGTCACATTATAGTGTCTTGTTTTTCTATATAAGCAAAATATTATTTAAAAAAAAAAACTGGATAAAAGATATATATGTATAACTTCTCCTTTCTTTATTTCCAGGTTTTTATATTTCTCCAGGCAATGCCACTGGCTGCCTGCCATGTTCATGTGATGTGTCTGGTGCAGTTAATCAAATCTGTAATAGCCTAACTGGTCAGTGTGTGTGCCAAGATGCTTCCGTTGCTGGGCAAAGTTGTGACCATTGCAAGGACCATTACTTTGGATTTGATTCTCAGACTGGAAGGTAAAGACTTATAAGAATTAACAGTTAAATATTATTTCTATTTGCAATTAACTTTTCTTTGGTAAATCAATGATTTTCATGGGCCCTCGAAGCAACGATGTCTTCTATAAAAAATGTCCTCTTTAATTGGTTGATATATTTTTTATTCTTTGATATCTGAATCTATAAAACATCATGGTAATCTTTGAATATGTCCTTTGGATATTGCCTATTGAGTGAGTTGCTGTAAAAGAATAGATGTACCTGTACTGGAGTCTGGGGATATAAGACGTTCAAAAACAGCCAGAAGTCAATAGGGAGATTTTGATATTGTTTAAGAAAGGAAGGTTGCGCATAGAAAATGGTACACATTCTCAATGATGAGCAGAAGTATAAACTCAAGATAAAATCATTTTCCCTCAAAGAGCTTACATCTGGATGTGGAGAAGGACAGGTAAAAAAAAAAACCTGTAGAAATGCGCACACACACACACACACACACACACACACACACACACACACACACACACACACACACACGCGTAAGGGGAAGGATAACTAGCATATATGTATGGTTTATTCTGCATGGCCCCTGAATTTATTGCTGGCTTGTTTGTTTGCTTATTTATTTCGTCCATTTATGTTTTCTTGCCTTTTTAATTTCAATTTAAAGACTGGCAGATGAAAAACACATCTTTGTATTCAGTGATATGAATTTTTTTCAATGTGTCAAGTACATTCTGAAAGTAAATTAACCGCTTTTTTCAAAGATGCACTGTTTCTTAATTTTCTACTCATTTGCTGCGTTTCTGTGGGCATTTACCTTCATGAACTTGTGTTTAATGCTTTATATCTAAAGATGTGCTGTTATGGCGATTCCATGTGCTCTCTGTTTGCCCTTGGATCAAATCATATACTTGTCTAGGGTTGAGATTATATCTGAATTCTTTGGTGTTCCAGTCCTCAAGCAACTAGTACTGTGTGCTAAACTCAGAAGATACGTAATAAAACCCATCAAATTTGATGCTCAAGATATATGTGTGTTTATAAATATAATTGCTAATTATTCAAAAGTTTGGGATTATGTGGGCTGTTTTTAACACATTTTTCCCCTGCTGTCTACCTTTTTTCCACTCCTCATTAGCACTTCCATTAGTGTGGACAGAATGACAGGGTAAATTATTGAAAAAGAACTCAAGATAGTTCATTTTGGCTTTCTTTTACAATTCAATTTGATAAAAAAGTACTTTAGAAAAATTATTTAAAATATTTATTAAAACAATTTTTGTACTTTTTACGTGTATCTACTTTTCCTTATTCATCCTGTTCCACTTCCTAGTTACCACACAAAAATTGCCTTAATAGTCTGAGAGTGTTGATACGCTCTTCTACAAAGATCTAAATAATTCCGAATGAGTATAGAAAAAAATAAAAAACATAGCACAGTAAATGTTAAATAAAAATCATTGTTAGGATTTTGATAGTACAATTGTACCAGTTATCACACATACTTCCCCTTGTTATTACCCATACTTTTTATTGAAAGAACTTGCCGTAAACTGAACAGTTGGAACTCTGGGGGTTGGTTCGTTTCACTCTTGACCACCCCTCTCGTTAGATTTCCTATCTTCTGTAGTTCTGGCCACACTTACTGTCCAAGAGAAAGTCTTTGTCTCCAATCTGCTGTCTTCCCTGGAATGCTCATGCCCCTCTGGCATTTTGTGCCAGTTTCGTACCCATTTGCCTGCTACTTATACCCCTTGTTATTCTTCCTAGGGTAACCACCAAAACCCCTGTTCAATGACCAAGAGATGTTTAATAGCATCAGCTTTTTCACTTAACTTTCACTTAACCTGGGTCCTTTCATTACACCGTGTCCTCCAACCTTCAGCGTGCTTGAATTCAAGACTAGTCTTCACCCCACTTTTTATTTGGTCACAATTTCTCCTTCCAGTTGCCTCCATACTCTACTCCTCCCAAACAAAACCCACGGCCGTGAAGTTGATTCCTACCCATAACGACCTCATAGGACAGAGTAGAACTGCCCCACAGGGCTTCCAAGGGTATAAATCTTTACAGAAGTAGACTGCCACTTCTTTCTCCCGTGGAGGGGCTGATGAGTTCGAACCATCGACCTTTTGGTTAGCAGCCAAGCACTTTAACCACCGCATCACCAGGACTTCCCCTACTCCCCAACCCAACTTAATTCGGACCAAGACTTGCTTTTACAGAATCATGTTTTATGATCTTTCACTTTGCTGTTGGCCTAGCTAGCACTGGAATTGGGCTGTCTAGGTTAAAAGGTGGGTTGAGAAGTTAACCTAAATTGATAGAGAATTGGAAGAGCCGAACGAGTAGGTGCAAGATGCATTATTTTTTTTCTTTTATTGTACTTTCGATGAAGGTTTACAGAACAAATAGTTTCTCATTAAACAGTCAGTACACATATTGTTTTATGACATAGGTTAACAACACCACAGCATGTCAACACTCTCCCTTCTCCACCTTGGAGGACCTTTTTTTTCTGATGAAAACATACATAGCCAAAGTTACACTATTTCAAAAGTTTCTACACATACAATTCAGTGACATCGATTACATTTTCTTCCAGTTATGCTGCTATTCTCACTATCCTTTTTCAAATTATTCCTTCACCATTATCTTTAACTCACTGCCCCCCTAGGCTTCCCATCAAACCTTTTGAGTTGCTGTTGTCAATTTGATCTCACATAGATAATTCTTTTTTTTTTGTACCTTAGATGAAGGTTTACAGAACAAATAGTTTCTCATTAAACAGTTAGTACACATTTTGCCCTAGGACAGTGGTTAACAACCCCACGACATTTCAACACTGTCCCTTCTCAACCTTCGGTTTCCTATCACCAGCTTTCTTGTCCCCTCCTGCCTACTAGTCCTTATCCCTGGACTGCTGTGCCTCATTGATGAATCTCGGGAGTGACTTCACCACTGAGCTAAAAGGGTGCCCAGAGGCCATACTCTCAGGGTTTCTCCAGTCTCTGTCAGACCAGTAAATCTGGTCTGTTTCTGTGAGTGAGAATTTTGTCCTACATCCTTTTCCAGCTCTGTCCAGGACCCTCTGTTGTAATCCCGGTCAGTGCAGTCCGTGGTGGTAGTCAGGCACCATCTAGCTGTACTGGACTCAGTTTGGTGGAGGCTATGGTAGCTGTGGTCCATTAGTCCTTTGGACTAACCATTTCCTTGTATCCTGTTCTCTTCATTCTCTCTTGCTCCCGAAGGGGTGAGACCAGTGTAGTGTCTTAGATGGCTGCTCACAGGCTTTTAAGACCCCAAATGCTACTCACCAAGGTAGAGTGTAGAACATTGTCTTTATAAACTGTGTTATGCCAGTTGAGCTAGATGTTCCCTGAGACCATGGTCCCCACAGCCCTCCGCTCAGCAATTCAGTTCCTCAAGGAGTTTGGATGTGTCTATGGAGCTTCCATGACCTTTCCTGCAAGATGCATTATTAAAGAGTGATGAGGTTAAACTCAAGAAAGTGGAATTCAGGCAAATAAAAGGGGTGAGAGCAGGTGTGAGTCTAGGAGATATGCCAAAATGAGAGAAGCTGGGTAGATTCTAAACCAGAGTGAAAGATCCAGAGTAAGTATGGGTTTAGAGTAAAAAGATGCATGACAAGTTTTACATAAATAAAAGTGGATACCTTTACATATTAGTTGACTCATAATTCCATTGAGTCAGGTCGGGAACTACCTTTTTAAAATTACAAGTTGTCCTTTGAAATCAAACTGTTCTTCTCCCATCTTCGTTGATCTTGTCTTCAGATTTCCAGGTCTGCACTCACCGAGAACATAAGCAGATGGTATTTTCCCTCTCTTCCTCAACACTTGCCATTAGCTTGAACTACTTTAACACCTGTTGATATAGTTTTTGGCCTCCTCACTCTTTTAATTCCCGTTCAAAAAACCATCTCCATGACCACACTCTGGGTCTCGTTAATCACACGGAACTTCTCTATCATTTAAATCTTCCTATTCCCGGAAATGCCAATCTATGAACACATCTCATCCTTCCAATTCTCTCTTCTCCAAACACCTACATAATCCACTCTTTGATGTCTCTCAAATCTCTAGCATTATCCCTGTCTGGTACTCTTCTGATTAGCCCCACTCTTGACTTTATTGCCTTCTACACACAGTCTGGGGCAAAACCATTTTAATTCTGATTCTCTCCAGTAACCTACTTGCTATAAAGATGTTTCTCTTATGGTGTACTGTGAGTCATCTTCAGTGATGATCACCCTGCTCCTACCCTGATCCTGTGAGTGTTTGGAGAAAGACAGGTGCCTGTACTGATTAGAACCACTGTCACATGTCTACTTCTCCTTACTTCAGTTTCTCTTCCTCTTTAAATTGTTGCCAATCTCTTCATTCCCCTGCCCTTGATCTCTACAGATAATCTAGCCCCCTCCTCCATAGACAAAAAGAGCTCTCCAGATTACCTTCTTTCCACCTCTAATTTGTCTACATTATCACGCATTCTTAAGTGTTTATCTAGTCTCAGAAGAAAAAAAATTAAATTTTTTCCAAAATTAACCTCTTGTGTGTTCTTGATGTTATCCTCTCCTTGTTTTTTCCTTTTGCTCCTTCCCTTCTTGCTCCTTCCGTTCCTTCTCCTCTGCTCCCTCCCTCTGAACTGTGCTCCATAAAATCTTCACTTTATTTTCACTTAAATCTCTCTCCATTATACTTCCTACCTGACTACAAATATGTACTTCATCACCATCCTAAACCCCCCTGCCTTGACTCAGCTCCACCTCATAAGCTCTAAAAGGGGCTGCCTAATCTCTCACTGTTTATTCACTTACTAACACTTACACAAAGTAGTTTCTTCTGCTTCTTTTTCTTTGCTTCCCATTCTTTCCTCGGCCACCATAACTCAGCCATGATGACTCAGTTTCTGTACTTTCTAGTTTATTAAACGTGGTTTAGAAAATGTTTTTGATGACCTTACTAAAAGTCCAATGCCCCTCTTTAAATGTA